TTATTTAATATCAATATTTTTATAAAAATATTTAGCAATTAATTTATAAAAAAATTAGAGAGTTCTTAAATAATTAATAATTATATAACATAAAAATTAGTTAAAAATCAATGCACTACAATCTAAGATACAAACAAAAGAAAACATTAGGTTAGGTTACAAATATCCGAATTAGATAGGGACTTTTTTGAGATGTGGGTACTGAGGGTTCACTTCGCGCGAGATCTAAAGGACGCTCGACGCTTAGGAGCATATAACGCTCATAAAGATCCATCTACTTTGAGTGATCATGTTGTAAACTTCATTCTATCTTTTTTTTTTGTTCATTATAAGATAGAATGAAGCAATAAAATCGAGCGGCATTTGGCCGCCAACGCGAGGTAATGAAATGAGTAACGAAAGGCGGAGCTGAATCGAAAATCGGCTGAGAAATGCAAATCGTGTCGAGCCCTGACCTAGACTATCTAGAGTCATATAGTTCATAGATTTATCAAAAGAAGAAAAAAATGCTTAAATTATGAATAAATAATAAATATAATAAATAAAAAATATATAATGCGTTATCGTACAATTGTAATATTTAATATATTAACTTCTAATACGGTCTCTTTTAATACGTTAATTGTGGATATCTGAAAAAATAAATAGTTAGACATTTGTCTGTAATTAACTGTCGCAGAGTTATAACTGAACTCGTTACTAGTCAGTAAAACATGTGAAGTGCCAAGTGTCCCTTGCGAATATTAAAATTTTACGATTAAAAAATTATTTAAAATAATTGCTACAAAATTGTAAGATTATTTTTAATATTAAATCACATAATTATAAAATTTAAATACGATAAAGAAACTCAAGAACGGTCAAAGTTGAATGTTTGAAATAATACATTATATATTCTTATATTAAATTAATTCAGATATGACTGAGAGCCAAAAAATTTTTGGTTTCAACACAATCATTCTAAAATGCTATATAATATTAATAATAATATTATTCCGGAATAATTTAAATGCATTCTCGGGGATGGTAAGTAAACAGCTCATAAATACCATCCCTATTCAATCACGCCGATATTCCGTTCAAAACACAAGTATATCTCGCTTCTGTTCTAATCATGCTATCTTAGATAGCCCCCTTGCGCGACACTCGAAAAGTTAATCGCGCACACATTCCACATGCGAAAGTTCAATTCGGAAAATATTTTTGACAATGTATATAAAAATCACCTCAAGATACTTGAGTGATATGCAATTTTTTTTGACTTAATTGACTTAGCTGATATCTAAGGACTATTAATAAGTGTAAGTAAAATTGTTTTCAAGATTCAACTATATATTAAGCCTATTGTAAAAAAAAGCAGCATTATAAAAAAACATTTGAGTTTCTTATTTAAATCGTATTTATAAATATTGTATGACGAATGACAAATACTATGATAATAAATCAAATAGGATAGAGAACGCTAATATGGTCAAAGTTAGATGTTTCGAATAATACAATATATGTATATTCTTCTTTATTAAATCAATTTATTATTTCAGATATGATTGCACGTCAATAATTTTTCAACATGATCAGTCTGGAACGCTGATAATCCTCCTTAAATTAGATTAAAAAAACTGTAAAGAATTTATCGCGAAAAATATTATCTCAGCTAGAGTTTGAACTTGGGATTTTTCGACTAAAAATAAATATTAATGATTAAAATTTATTTAATAAATTATCTTCATGTTCAAGAGCATTATATTTCAAGTATCGTGAATCAAGTTTAACAAAACGTACTTATGAATATGAGTTTATCTATGCAAGTAAGCCAGAAGAAGAATAAAAAAACCAGCAAATAGTTATTTTCAAGTGTAAGTGGATAGTTTTTCACAACATAACACTACATAACAATAGAATATTTATTGATAATATTTAAAATTTATTTGTACAGATTATATATAATATTACGCAATCGCGCGTGTAACACTCAATTATAAATATTTCGAAAACATCTTCGATAACAATTAAAGTAAATAAATATTATTAAAAGAGAAATATCAATTTTAAAATCTTTTAAAAAATTCATATAATTGTGACGTGATTCATATATTTTCTAATATAGAAATAGAAAAAATATATTAATTAAATTTTTTTATTTTCAATATTTCAATACATGTTTTATTTAGCAAACGTGTTTAGATAAACTTATTTGTTTATAATTAAATAAATTTATTAATTTTATCAAAACAACGATAAGACTTTAATTCAAATACACATATTTAATATTTTACAATACGTTCAATACAGGAATCCGAAGCTGAAGAAATCCGATTAGAACAGTCATTACAACAAGAATGCTTATTAGTACATTCTTGTTACTTATTCTTATTGGATATTTGATATACCATTATTATGTGCAATATGGACCAATAGGACGACTTATTAATAATATACCAGGACCATCAGGTTATCCAATTATTGGTAATACATTACAATTATTAATTTCAAGAGGTAAGTTAAAATTTTTAATACATTTCGATCAATTAATTATATATTATATATTATATTATATATTTAT